TGAGTGCTGGAATTACAGGTGTCCACCACCATGCCCGGCTAATGCTTTAAAATTTCTACCTATCTGGTGGATGGGTAAATAGAATCATGTGTGTGTATAAAACACTTGAAAGAAAGAAAAAGGAACAGCACGAGACAGGTCCAGCAACTAGCCAAAGAATCCTATGGCATCACTGATACAGCACTCAACTCTAAGTGTTGTAAATATTGACCTTGGGGGAGGGGAGGTGCCCCTCAGTTCCACTCTTCCTGCTTTGGGTAACTTCATCTGATTCCTTTCCCTACCTCACTGCTTAGGGTGAAACTCAAGAACCTGTTAACACACACACTCCTACCCGATCCCATCCTGCTGCAGGTGAGAACAGGGTCCACTACAGCCAGTCACAGGAAGACGGAATCCTTTTTTTTTGTTTTTCTCCGGTACCGGGAACCAAACTCACGACCTTGCGCTTGCCAGGCAGGCGCTTTGCCGCTGAGCTAAATCCCCAGTCCCAGGAAGACGGAATCCTTATGGTCTCCAAGGAACTTGCAAGAGGTGAGGAAGCTACAGCGCAATCCTGCTAACCAGAGGGATGGTCTCTTTGAGAATGAACAACCCAGAAAAATACAAAGGAAGAAACCAGATCCTGCCAGCGTCTTTTCAAACCCTGTGTTAGTCTGTGCTTAAAGCCAGCATTACCCTCAAACTTTTCAGTCCAATAAGCCAATAAATATTCTTTCTGCCCAGCCAGCTTAGACTTGTCTATCATGTGTGAAGAAAGCATCCTGGTTAATACAGCAGATTTCTGGGCTAAATACTGTATTCAGACAGCTAGTACAGAAACATCAGCCAGCTCAGCTGGACAGAGGTCCTGCTGTAAAAGCAAACACCAAAGGGCAGTTTTCTCTGGTTTTCAAGGCTGAACACAGCCTGCTGGGACAGAACAGACCTCCAACCTGCTCTGGGTTGCCGGGGCCCCTCCCCATAGTTCCTTGGATTCTGAAGCAGGAAAGAGGCAGAGCCTCCTTCAGCCTCACCTGCCTTCTAACCCAAGCTCCCAGTGAAGAGTCCTAGGTTAAGGCTAAAACATCTGGATTTTCATCCAGCTTCAGCAAGCTGCTCTGCAGCCCAAAGTTAGATTCTTGAACTTTGTGGGCCTCCAGATTACAGTGAAAATACGGAGGTGAGAAGAATACGAAGGCCCTCTCAGGACAACTGTAAATGTTTGGCAGGTACCCCAGCATAGTTCATGTGTAACATAAAGTCACTTCTGTTACTAAAAGCAACCAAAGCAAAATGAACAGCTGAAACCTTTGGGTCAGAAATCACTGATATTTTCATGCTGATTTTTGGCAGACTGGCCATCAGAAAAAGACCAGTTTAATAACTTTAGTGCTTTTTAGATCACATTTGGAGCTGGTAAACACAGTATCTATGGGTTAACGAGCTGGTGATGGTCTAACCATTCACACCCTTGGGGAAGAAAGCATCTAAGCCAGCACCTAGAGAGTTACTATTTTTTATCAAATTTGGGACACCCATGCCATGACCTCTTTGCACCTCTGAAATGTGGTCAACAGTGCATCATAATTTAACTGTCTAAATATTTTCTTCCAGTTAGAAGGCGTCCCACCACGATCAGGCTTGAATTTATCTCACAAAGCCCCAAATCCTGCCACATCTTGCCTAATGCTCCAGCCGCTAGGTTACAAGGAAGGCAGCCGCTCTTTACCACTCTTCACATCAGACTCAGCTCAGCTCCAAAGCCTTGCACAAGACCATCCCCTAAGGCCCCGGCTGCCCCTCCCCCCAGCAGTTCTGCATACACTGCAGTTCTGTGACAGCACCATATTGATCTTGTAATTGGTATTTTTATCTCTCTTAATATTTTTACCCATCTTTTCACCCAAGAATGTGAACCTGGGTCATGCCTTCCCGATCTTTTTTTTGTTTGTTTTTTTGTTTTTCTCCGGTACCGGGAACCGAACTCACGACCTTGCGCTTGCCAGGCAGGCGCTTTTGCAGCTGAGCTAAATCCCCAGCCCCCTTCCCCATCTTTTTATCTCCAGTATGGGGCCCAAGGTAGGAGTTCTATAAATGTTTATGAAATTAATGTCACCACCCGCCACGGTATCTCTTTCCCACTTCACAAATTCGTTTCAGCAACAGCCTCAGAGGTTTTTCCTTAGATTAGATGCTACTGGTCACAAACATCAACCAGCTCTCCCCTGGCCTCCCTGCACACACATGCACATGTGTGCACGCGCGCGCACACACACACACACACACACACACACACAGGGAGGGGCAACATTTCAGTTCTACCCAAGTGGCAAGTTCTAAGCCTGGATGCCAGCCAAAATTAAGCCTTTGCGTAACAAAATCAACATCTTCCCATTTTCCATGGATTTTCTATTCTGATCCTCGGGGGCACAGGTTCTAAGACTAAAGTCACCCCAAGAAGCCTCAATTCAGTGGCTCTATCTGAGGTCTAACCGTCTTTTGTGGTGGGCAGACACAGTCTGAGTTCAGCCTGTTAATCTCTTGGGAAGTAACATCTAAGAAGTCCTCCACAGCCTCAATTTCCTTATCTCTTTATTAATCAATAAAGAGAAATGTTTTGTCTAGTTCACCAAGCTGTCTGAAGTTTAAGAGAAGTCACACAAAACTGTCTCACTATGCTTTAGGATGGCTTTGAACTCCCAGGCTGGACTCGAACTCGAGGCGATCCTCCTGTCTTAGCCTCCCCAGGGCTGGGTTACAGCTATGGGCAACAAACATGTTTTCAAAACAAAAAAGTACTATCTAGCCAGGAGTGGTGGTGTACATCTGTAATCCCTGCACTCACAAGGCTGAGGCTGGAGGACTGGGAGTTCAAGGCCAGCTGGGGTACCCTGCGAGTCTCAGGCAGCCTGGTCTCCACACAGAGACCCTATATCAAAGAACAAACAAACGAAAAGCACTATTCTAGGAGCACAAAAGCTAACCTGAAAGAGCTTATTCTGGCTAAAGTTATAACTAGAGCAATACAATGAAGTAGCACTGGACTGTAACCCAAAGTATAAGACACCTTTATGAGTCACACTAATGTACATCATTAATAAGTTAATCAAGAGGAGAGGAAAGACAAATATCCCATGCAGAAAAATTTTAAATAAAGTATGGAATTACTTGCCCCAAGGAAGGGGAGCAAAACTCCCTGCTCCCTAGTGCAGGGTGCACATAGTGTGTCCTTCCCCAGAATATAGTATGCGAAGGAGGAAAAAACAGTACACAATTTTACAGTAGCAGGACCTGGGGAACACTCAGCCAGGTGACGTGAGGAACGTGGCAATCCACTTCTGTGATTTTCCTCCCAGTAACACATATGCTCAGCCTTGGGAAGAAACAGATCCATAGGAGAGGTACCCTACTACCACAACTATCTACATCCATCTCCAGTTGCTGTATTTGGATCTTAAGTGTTCCCCAAAGGCCCGTGCATTAAAAGCCTGCTCGCACCTCAGAGCTACTGGAAGGCAGCAGAAATTTTAAGAGGTAGGGCTCAGGGAAGTGGTGAACCTTTCAGGGGCAGAACGCCCAGACTGTAACCGAAACCCACTTATTTATCGCGAAGTCCAATGCTGCAATTAAACCCGAATACTGAGGTTTTAGTTCAGAAAAAACAACTGTTCTCTGGTGCTCAGTTGCTGGGGCAACTTGGCTCGCGGGGACAGAGAGGGCTCTGCGTGTCTGTGGCAAAACCCGTGGCCCGAGGTAAGTCTGCAGGTCACTGGAGACAGGCCCTCGCACGGGACTGTGGAAACCCACTCTCCTGCTCTCTCTTGCTCCCTGGCCATGAAGTGAGATTTTGTTTTGCCACCTACCTCTCCCATGACATACTGCATTGCCACAGGCCTAACCTCCCGAACTGCCAGCCAAAATAAACCACTTCTCTCTGCAAGCTGACTACCTCAAGTACTTGTTACAGTAAAGGAAAGCTAACTCACCAGTCTTCCTCCAAACTGGCAAGGTCACCAAAACAAAGTCTGAGAAAATGCCACAGCCCCGTGCAGGAGACGAGACAACTACAGTAATAGGGAACGTGCTCAGGCAAGAAGAAAATATGACTACACTGTGGGCTTTGGGCAGTAATAACGTTCTTGGTGACTTTTTTTTTTTGAGGCAGTGTCTCACTATGTAGTCCAGGCTGGCCTCGAACTCAGGTCAATCCTCCTGCCTCCGCCTCCCGAGTGCTAGGGTTACAAGAATGCAACACCATACCCGGCAATAATAATGTACTAATTTTGGTTCATTAGAGAGAAAAGAGTTCAGGTATTTGGGAACTCTGGACTACCTCCTCCATTTTCCTGTAAATCCAAAACTTCTAAAATACAGCCTCTATTAACAGACAAAGTGCAATTTTGGAACCATTAAAAAAGCCCTACTTTTGGGGCTGGGGATTTAGCTCAGCGGCAAAGCGCCTGCCTGGCAAGCGCAAGGTCGTGAGTTCGGTTCCTGGTACCGGAGAAAAAAAAAAAAGCCCTACTTTTGGAAACGGTGATTTTTTTCTAAGTCGGGGGCAAACACGCTAGGGTTGTGACTTGAGCTCGCAGCTGCAAGCGGAGGCCCGGCGGGCGCGGACGGACGTCACCCGCCTCTGCCGAAGCACAGAGGGGCCGTGGGGTCCACATCTGGACCCCGCCGGGAATTCCGAGGGTCTTCCTCGCCTACTCGCAATGTTACGTTCACACACGATTTTCTAAGGCCGAAGGAGTGACTAACCGGTTCACTCTGACCAGAAAAGCAGGAAATGGGCAGAGGGCGCCGGCGGCGGGCCTCGCCCCTGCACTCCAGGCGGCGGCGCCTCGGGCCGCG